TGAAACTCTATGCGCTGTATTAATTGGGAATGTTTTCCACACTGCTCAGGTAATCCATTTCCAGTCCTGGGCAACAGACCAAAATCCACTAAGGACCAGAGTCCAATGCCCTTGGCCTGAACCATTTATCTTTTTTTCACACAAATAAGGTCTACATCCATTAGTAAGAAGAAGCAGAAAATAGCAGAAATGCACTAATAAAGTTAATATTCAAATGACACGACATGAAAGGTTTTTTATAAATGGAAAAAAACTACTGAGCTTCGTGATCTTGAATTTTTATTTTATGCAGCAATTTTGAATGGAGAAGGAAAAATTAAGGTGGACTACTCCAAGCAGTTTAAAGAAATTATACAAGTACTTCAAGTAACTTTCTGCTTTAGAAATCTACAGATTTGACTTGAATTATTCAGTTAGAATTAATAGTTATAATGTATAGAAAAACATGGGTATATCAAATTCCATTTTTCTCTTTCCCACTCCTCTTCACTGGCTTTCCATGTTCCTGGAATACCAAATTTGTCAATGGTAAGGACTTAAAGAGCGCAGTTGCCTGTCTCAATGGTTAAGACCACAGAAGGACTTTGCCGTGAGATAAGCACAGAATGGAGCGGCAGGATGCCGCTAATTCCAGGACTGGCGGAGGCAAGGTCTGGCCAGCACATATTGGGTGATGCATCCAGATAAAAATTCCCAGTGTGGCAAACTGTGTAAAGAAGTAACTGTATGCATATGACTGGTCAAACAAATATCACCCCAAGTTATGGGACAGGAGGCATCTCTGACCAGGAAAGCCCCTCCCCTGACTATGCCTCTGTGGATACCTGGAACTTGGACTGTAAGCTAAGCCACTGCAATGGGAACTTGAGATAAGGTAAAGGTAGTACTATTGCCTGAGTGTTATCAGGGGGATGTTAAGGAAGCTGGGGGAGAAGAATGCATAATGGATAATGGGCCACAAGGAAAGCCAACTTGGCAACAGTGCTGAAATCAGCTTGGACTGGGTAAAAGGTAATTCTGGCAGGGGGAAGATGGAGACCCCCAACCACAACCCACCAACTCAAGAAACCCACTGACTCAAAAGACAAGAAGGACTGAGCATGTGGACTAATTAGAATTAGAATTGAGGGAATTATTTAACTAACAGAATAAGACAACTGTGTAGCCAATGAGCACCAATTCCTTTGTTTGCAAAAATGTATAAACAGTATTTATAGTTCTGAACAACCTGAGGAACCCCCACCAAAGAGAAGCTCAGGGTGAAGTACCAATGGGATGCCGCTGAATCCACAGGTGGTGACTATCTTCTGCTTAATCTCTCCTCTCTTTTCTATTTCTTTTTATCTCTCAATCTCACATTTTATTGTTAAATAAAATCCGTACTATTGACTTCAGCATATGGTCTCATTTGCACCTTATGGGTAGAGGCATCTTTCAATAGTCAGATCTTAACAGTAAATCCATTGAAAAATTGTGAGTACTCAACATTTTCGGGTTTAATAAAGGCCTCCCAGCCAAACGAAGTAATTGAAACCTGAGTAGTATTAAAGCAGACCTCTGAGAATCTCTGAGAATACTTCAACCTGTCAAAAATGACTATGAATAGGTACAGAACATTTACTAACCAACATAATCCTTTTTTTCATTAAAGCATCTGAAAGTTTTGGTCATCCATACAAAATCTACGTCTTTAAGAGCATGTATAAAAGACACAATGGATAAAAATTTTTTGTGCATGGCATTACAAATAGGGGCAGCTTCAAAGTGGGCTAAGAATACGACGTTAAGTATATTATATATTAATTCAAGGGAATAGTGTAGATAGAGGTGATGTTTCTAGGTGTTTTCAAAAGCATCGAAAACATCAAGCTTCAATGAAAATCGAAGGAATTTAATTCAGTGCCAGTTTACCTATTTAAATACTTTGGAGTACAACTCCCGTGGAAAGTTATTATGAAAATCCCTTTCTACGCTTTTGAGCTTTATTCAAATTTCTTATTATTAATCTATGTGTTTAGACAAACAAATAAAAAGTTATATATTCCTAATAAAAATACACTATTAAAAGAATGCATATATACATGTAATTTGCCCTCTTCTGTTTATTTGCATGAGTTATGCATATTCTTCTCCCAACTGGGAATATATAAAAACTGAACATACATTTCTTTCTGAGAATTGTAGTGTTAATATATTAAATGAAGATCCAAGGTGCACACATTTTTTCAAAGGCACTCTTAGAACTTCTTGAAATGTGTGTTCACGTATAATTATGTAACTTGCAATTATGAGTGTTATAAACCCTATGGAAGGAAGGAAAGCATATTTTTTTTGCCTATGTACTACTTCCCTTTAAAAAGCATGCTATGAAAATAGGCAAAGGCTACATGTGCTAATTCTGCACTCCAGTGAAAATATCAGTGTTTTGATCGCACTCTTGCAAACAGAACGGAGAATGGAAGTTGTTGACACCGGTCCGAATTATTCAAGAAATTTACCCTGAACTAAAATGAAACATCCGGAAAGAGTTTTCATTTGAATAATGTTAAAAGTAACAATGTAGAGAGGTGTTCCCTAGAGGCACTGTCCTACTGTTGAAAATCCTCATCTGTATTCCTCATTGCTAAAAGACTTTTTAAGACTATCTCTGTCTCCTTTGGTAGAACTGAAACTTGCTTACAGTTTACATGCTCCAGCATCCAAATGTAACTAAAAATAGCAGGACCATGTTTCAGAATGAAACAGCTGGTCACAGAATTGATTTGTCCTCCTTGAAAGTAGATAACTGTCATCAAAGTAACACCTTTCAATTATAATTATTGGTGCTAACATTCAGTTTCTGTCATGCCAAATCCTCACTCTACCAAGCTGTCTTCATTTTTAGGGAAAAAAATCCACTCCAGACTGGGTTACAAATAGGGCTATTTAGGGAAAACATAAAATTCCTATATGGGATGTGATAAACGTATACTAAGTAGAAATATATTGCTACTTAACTTTCTTTAGATTAGGGAAAGTCAAGGATAATGGTCTTGACTCAAAAACGTCAAGGACAGAACATGGTAGTACCGGGTCATTCTGGTGTCATTTCTTGGTAAGCCATCTTCAATACAATGTACAAATGTAACTAAATCTCTTGCCTTAGCTGAAAAAAATCAAAAGTAGATGGAATACCATGGAAGATTTTCTACTCTTGTGCTAAGATTTCAAGAAAGTGAGGTTTTTTCAAGGTCTTTTGTTCATCTCTTCAGCATTTGTGCATGCCTATAATACACTTAGCAGAAATGAATATTTAACTACCTTAATAAATGTGCCCTGCTTTTGCTTAATCTTTCAGAGTTTATTCATTTTTAAAATATACTTTCTGTATCAGAAAACATCCTTTTGTACTTCTCTTAGTTTTTCCTGAATAATAATTGTGTTATATAAGGTAGCATAAAAATACATTTGAAGTCTCATCATATTTTTCTGAAAAATCTTAATTAGACATTCAGTGCTGGATTGTCCTCTCTCTCCTTAGTCTGAATAAATCTGTGTAAGTTTTCTCCTATTGACTGATTATGCTGCTACGACACTGAATGAAACAAACAATCTTGCTAAGGTTATTTATAATTGTAGAACTGCATAAATGTTATGCTTCAGTGATTTTATGGGCTTCTTATTATGTGGTGCCTGCAGTTTGTAGAAACAGCATATTTTGACATAACGGCTAGCTTGCCATCTGTGGGAAGTTGTGGGCTTGGGTTTTGCTTTGTTTTGTTTGCTCGTGGTTTCTGTTTTTGGTTTCTGGGAGTGTGTTTGTTGGGGGAAATTTGGCCCTTGGGGCTGCCAAAGTACATTTCCTTAACATGTGTTTTATAGCAGTTCTATTTCCTTTTCACTTACAATTTTATTTGGCTTTTTAAGTTATGCTGAGTGCTTGGCCTATTCTTTTTATTTGTTTCCTAATGGCAGTTGGCATAAGATTCAGGAAATCCAACCTAAGTGATCTAGATATATGTCTAATTCAAACAAACAACTTTGCTTCTAAACTTCCTTTTTCTATTGTACTATTTAATTCCTATGGGGAATTAAGTGACTGGAATAATAAGGACTTGACTGTAAATTGTTATTTGAGTGGGACAGCAAGAAGGGAGGGCAGGACTGCAATGATTTTTCCTTTTTGTTTTGGAATCAAATCAAGTCATGTTGGATACTTAGGCTGCAAGTAACTTCTTGAAGCACAGTGATCTGCTGCACACAGTAAATTGCATATCCTATCTGTGAATTGAAGTTCAAAAATATAATTTTTGCAATAAAAATATTGCTAAATTTCAACAATAAAAAAACACAGTCCTTTTCTCAGATAAAGATGTGGCAGCCTCAAAGGGAATTATATGCAATTCTAAAATTAATTTTCCAGTTTGGAGTTGTTCAATGTTCAAAGCTCACCAATATCAGAACTTTATAGTTAAAAATTACTTGAAACAATATTTGCTCCTTTACTAAGGAACATGACAGGACAGGGTCTGTACTTACTAAAGAAAGGGTACATGACAATATAGGGTCTACTTACTAAAGAAGGATATGTGGTGTTAAGGAGATTTAATAGGTTTTTCTTTGTAATGTAAATCTATTTCTCCCTATTTCATATATCAAAAAAAAATACTTGGATATAAATGGGAGCTGCAAACATGTAATAAATAATATTGGAAGTTGCAAACATGCCACACAAGTTGCTCTTGCATGGATAAGAAGTTGATCTGTGTGTTTAAAATCCTTAATGAAAAGACCTCTCCTGAATTCTATTTATGCTAATCAAATTACAGAAATGAAAATTCCTTTAGTTTGTGACTACTTATGTGCTTTCCTATTTAGTTTGAATCTGCCTTTTCAAATAACTCTTAAAGTTATTCAGAGACAACGTTTTGGTCTGGGTCCAATTCTAGTGTTAGCGTGTATTTAGGAACATTTTATGTGGATGAAATTGTTTTTAATTTTATTTTCAAATTTTTTTGCAGTCTACTGTTGTGGCCCTGCTGCACCAAAGGATAAAGCCACATCCTTACTTTTAGCAACCTGGTGAGTTCCCAAAAGTCATGAAAACACTGCTCAAATATTCAGTACTAGTTCCACATTTTAAATGCTTTACCAAGCCAAAGGCAGATTGTCCAGATTGCAGGCAGATTGCAGAGGAACTCTGATTCTTGACTAAGGCAAGCAGATCACTGTCCAGGATAACAGGCTGCTAAGATAGGGGTCTGCTAAGGAGGCTGAAAAGTAACCTGATTGTCCTTCTTCAATTATTCTACAGGTCTAGGATGTCATTCCTTCTGCTACTGCCACATCCATAAGGGATGGACATTGCAGGAGAGGTCCTTCCCATATGTGCTAGTATACCACAAGATTTTTCCCTCGTGCTAGCTAGAGCCAGGTGTCTTATCCAGGGACTCACTGAACATCGGTTCATTGTACCGATTCAGTTGCATCCCATTTGAAAGTAAGCCAGCTTTAACGGGAAGCACATATGTGTTTTGAAGATGAGTGTTGATACAGGAAGCTAGATCCCAAAAATTGGCTTAATTCAAAATTTTTAATCCAAATAGCAAACTGAAGTGCTGAGTTGTACGAGCTCCATCCATAATCCTTGCTGCAATCTGACTAACTAAGGCATTTTTCTGGCCCTTGCTCATGGGTAGTGGAGAGGTGCAAACATCTTTTCCACAAAAAACTTGTCTACATTTCAGACTCCTCTGGCCTGAGAACCTGTGCTCAGAACAAGCTTGGGAGTAGCCAAGGCACAGATCTGTACAAGAAGGAAGATTCTGACCCTGCCTATGAAGATTAAAGACTCCACAAAAGTACCACTGTCAACAGTGTTTCAGCGATTCCAACAAAATAATTTAGAAGTTCAAGCACAAAACACTTACTGTTGGTTCCAGTATGACAAACTGCATATGGTACAGTGCATATGGCTGGTAAGCCCAGCCACTGAGAAGTGAGCTCTATGAAATGCAGCTTGGAATCTGATTTCCTGAATCCACAATGAGTAAGGAGAGTTGTAGTTTGGCTTTTGCAATGCAAGTTTGTTGAATGAAGACAGCAGTTATGGACTCCTACAGCTAAACCATAAAACTTTGAGACCAAAAGTGGCAAAAAGCTATAGAATCGCAGAAATGGCTTTCTTGTCCAACTCAGCCCTTGTCTGAAGAACTACCCAAACAACTTGTATTTTGCTAAACTATGGCTAAATTGCCTTACTTTCTTCCCTCTCAGATTCAGGGAAACACTCACTTTACTTCTCTTATTGACGTATCTAACTTTCTGTTGTCCGCTACCCACTTTCCTGAGAGCTCAAAATAGTGCTGGACCCACAATTCTTGCCATCTTAACTGAAATAAAATTGAGATTTTGGGTGTTGGTTTTGATTTTACTGCTAATATTGCCTCTCTGCATGGCCCTGGAAAGGTTTTGAAATGTTGAAAGTGGCCATGGCTGAGATGAATTAGTGAACTGAGGACAGGAGAAGCAATTAATAACACATGATGAATACAATTTGTCATACTGCTACCTCCCAAATATCGTTGGGATGTAATTGCCTGTATCAAGACACACACCGCATTCCTCCTTTTGGCTTTCTTTTTCAACTGTGCAGCACTTTTTAGATCCTGTTTCTTTTGCTATTTCTCTTAGCATGATCGAGATTATTATAAATAATTCATTTCTTCCTCTCTTAAGCATGCATCTGTCGGACTGGAGGGCCAAAATGTTCGTTTAAATAGTTCCCTGAAAATTAAGCCATCCCTTGTCTTCTATTGCCCATCATCCTAATGAGAGTTCCTCATGCCAAACTGAACTGCCCCCACCTTAGTAACTGTCAAAATCTATGTCATCACCAAACTAAATACTTTTTTAAAAAATAGTGAATATCTGTATATGTCCAGAAATCCCTTGCATAACTACCTCACATATGGTACACCATATATAGCCATAAATATTTTTCCAACAACACAATTACCTCTGAAAAATGAGGGCAGGCTAGTGGGTCATGCCAATCTGTAAAAAGGAAAAAGGTAAAATTCTCAACCAATACAACCAGACGAGCATCTAATACTTAACTGGCATGTTTTGTATATAACTAGGAAGGTTCTTCTGTGATTTGAACTTCTAAAAGTTTATGTGAAAAATACAATACGTTCAGCCTAAATTTCACTGAACAGTCTCATTGTTACTTCTCAGTTCCACAAGCCACCTTTGAAATAAACTTCTTAAATTATTATGAAAGACAGAGTGTGATTCAAGTGTATATTACTGTTGCTATTTAATTCCTTTCTGTAGATTTCACTTTTATATATGCATAAAAAAGTGTCCTGTTTATATTACTCTAGGCATAGTCTTTTAAAATATCTTGTGTTATTGTTGGCAAGGGAACATTATAGTGTGGATAATGACGGAATAATAACTTTGATTTTGAACTTCTATTACTTAAAATTTTGCAGCGTTCCCTGAATAGGATGTACACTGGAGCTTACTTACTCTGTAATTGCAATCCTTACCTTGAAGGCATTTTTGTATGCCCAGCATCCAAATGGACAAGAGAGGGAATTGAAGTCTGAAGATATATTGTTCTTTCTTCTGGTTATTCTCAGAACGGCTGGATTCAGCAAGGATCTTAGAGGCTCCTCCTCATCTCAAAACTTTTGAGAGGGCTTTCCTAGAGGACAACTAATTCATGTTCAGGGTTCATATCTGAATTTACATCTTCATAAGAAACAGGCAATTAATGCAACTCCATTATACTGGAGTCTAATTACAGATGGCTCTGTGTAAGGAATCTGCCACTGACAGTGAACCCAAAGGAATTAGCACAGTTCAGCTATGCCAACACATCTTAATATGACCCCATATGCATCTGTTCATGACAGTTGTGAAGTGAGTTTCACATTACCTTGTACTCCATTATTTCAATAATTTTTTACTGATTTAACATCCTCAGGCTGGATCGATGGGCCGAGACCAACAGTGTGAGGTTCAACAAGGCCAAATGCTGGGTCCTGCACTTGGGTCACAACAACTCCATGTGTCACTATAGGCTGGGGGAAGAGTGGCTTAAAGGACCTGCCCAGCTGAAAAGGACCTGAGAGTGCTGGTTGACAGTGGCTGAACGTGAGCTGGAAGTGTGCCCAAGTGCCCAAGAATGCCAGTAGCATCCTGGCTTGTACTAGAAATACTGTGGCCAGCAGGTCCAGGGAAGTGATTGTCTCCCCGTACTCAGCACTGGTGAGGCTGCACCTCAAGTACTGTGTCCAACTCTGCTTCCCTCACTACAAGAAAAACATCAAGGTTGCAGAAGAGGGCAACAAAGCTTGTGAAGGGTCTAGAGAGTGAGTCTTATGATGAGCGCCTGAGGGAGCTGGGGTCATTTAGCCTGGACAAAAGGAAGTTCGGGGTGACTTTGTCAGCCTCTACAACTACCTGAAAGGAGGTTGTAGCAAAGTGGGGGTCAGCCTCTTCTCCCATGTAACTAGGAATTGGATGAGAGGAAATGGCCTCAAGCTGTGCCAGGGAAGGTTCAGGCTGGACATCAGGAGGAATTTCTTCATGGAAATGGTAGTTAAACATTGACATGGACTGCCCAGAGACGTGGTGGATTCACCGTCCCTGGAGGCGTTCAAGAAAAAACTGCACATGACAGTGCCATGGTCTACTTGACAAAGTCATGATCAGTCAAAGGCTAGACTTGATGATCTCAGAGGTCCTTTCCAACCTAAATATTTCTGTGATTCTGTGATTCTGTGATCACTGGCTGCAAATATAATCCACCCAGGATGACATCACTAGCTGGCCATATATATGTATGTCTAGTCTTGTAAACTCTGTTTTAATGGAAACATATTTGTAAAACTGGGATGAAAAAGTATTTCCAATTACCTAGTGATCACCTGGTGATATATTATGAGTACTCTGTTATCCCTGACAGAAATGATAAGGATCTTTCAGTTGTGTTTTCTTGGTGAGAAATTTCTGTAAGACCACCCATTTATCCTGCTGCACTGAGCTGAACATTTTACCCGCTTTTAGCTGCTAAACAGCCTAGGTCTATATCCCACTATGCTCAGTTTTTGTATTCTTCAGAGGTTAATTCAGTTTTGGACTAGGTCAGTTCTGTGAACCCTTAAACCCCACTACGTACTGGAGAAACCGGTTTGGAGATAAGGTAGGTGGCACTATTTCCCATGAATCAGGAATGACTTTTTCTGAACAGGAAAGGAAAAACTTGTTGATAAACAATATGCAGTAATAAAATCTTAACTTCTCTACAATCACAGAAAATGCAGCAAAGTATATTTTAATGCACTCTGCTCACGACTAAAACACACTTTATACAGAAAAGGAAAATAATGCAATGCCAGTAAGTAGGCAGCTGTGATGTTCTGATGCTAAGAAATACTGAGGTAGAGCAGATCCCTTCAAGACTTTGAGTGTCTGTGATGAATGGGTAACATTACCTCCGCACTGGTCCTGAGAATAGAAAGCATTGTACGAGTACTGTAGATACTGAGGTAATAATATCTCTTTACAGAAAATCTCTGTTTTTCTATTTTATCTTTTATAGAGAACCTCCCAGAAAAAGTATCCCTCAAGGGTACGCATTTTCAGGAGTTAGATCATAGACTGTCATAGGCTGGGACAGTGGCTGTAGAAGGGGAGAGGTATGCTTAGGCAGAGAAGGATCTTACGGCCAGTTTTCTACATCTGCATTGTTAAGCAGGGATCTCCAGTCCTGCCCTTTGTGACATCTTCCATTCACAAGGTGATACAAAGTTCATTGTCACAGGGCACCTCATGTACTGACCTTGAAGATATGGCTGCTTATTCATTTTTTCAAGGCACAAGTATAGATATATCCATAGTCAGTAATCTGGTTGAATAGATCCAGATCAACCAATTAGTATGACAATGGAATTTTACTATTCTTCTCCTTCTATAGATGAAATGTATTTGTAACTCCCATACTGGCATTGTTCCTCAGTTTTGTCATAAGATATGCAGGAGATCTTACTGTCTCTTTTGTGCTTAAATGGCATAGGTGCTGTTATTAAGAACAAGAACATTTCAAGGATTATTACTTAGCCTCATGTGGAAACAATTCTGAAAAACACTATTAAATCACCAGGAAGAGTCTCTATCATTAAGGATGCACTTGAACATAGGTCTCTAATTTTTATTGGGAATAACCAATATGCTTACATATCAGGCAGAAAACTGTCTACAGATAGAAGAATAACATAGCCAGAAAATGGTAAGAATAAGAAGGGAGGAGAAGGAGATGGAAGAAAGATTGGGGTAGAAATAAGAAAAAGATTGAGTACATAGAGAAAGAGACTTATTAGCCAGCACTCTTTTTTGTCTGAAAAGGTTAGGAGCAAAAGAAGACTTGTCAGAGATGCTCTAAATTTGAAGGTATACAATAGGAACATATTAGCCTTTCTTTTTAACCTGTAGCATGTAGCAACAGTTAATTAAATTAAGGGCAATAAAGTTAGAAGAAATGAAAGGATAAGTCTTCTTTACGCAGTACATAATCAATTTGTGGTATTCACAACCACTGTAGGTCATGTAGACAGGTATTGTGGTTGGATAATTTTACGACTAGCAATAACATTTGCAGCTCTGTCAACGTAGACAGTGATAGAAAGGTAATCAAAGAGACACCTGGAAGAACACTGCCCCAAGAACTCAAAGGTCTGTTATATTATGAAGGACTCAGCACCAGCTCAAAATGTCACATCGTTTATCAGTGTGTGAGTGTGTAACATGCAGAGAATTAAAGGCTATTACATCCCAGTTTTAATAATCAGTAAATAGATGGTCAAGGAATAGATAAACATCCTGTTCTCTTCTTGATCAGTGATCTTCCAAATTATGCTAAATAAGTTTCCTCAAGTAGTACTCTCTTCTCTCTCCCTGAAAATGTCAGTGTGCCATTGGGGTCTGATGGTCTCCCTGGAGTTCTGGCTTTCAAATTT